GAAATCAGATGGACTATAACGCTTTTCTATTGCTGTATTCCGTTTTTATTTAACATAGACTGGAGATAGTTTAGAATGTTTTACGCTTATATTTATTTGTGAACTTTCACTTCTATTTGTATTAGTTTGACCTGACATAAAATTGGTATCGGAAACTTTCATCCGCGTTACACCAACGCGGAGGGATAATTAATTGGTTGTAAGCTCCACGGGTCCTATTTTACGCTACACGGCAATGGAGGCGTACGCGGCCGACCAGCGGTACGATCCGCACACAAATAAATCGTTAAGCGAATTTCCCAACATGGCTTCCGCGGGTACGGCCAATGGGAGGTAGGGGGTGGCGGGGGGCGGTCGCCGTTGCATCTTAGTGTGAAAATTTAAAAAATTACGAGCATCGTCTTTATTTTACGATCGCTTTGGGAGTTTACCCCGTGTTCAAAAGATAGCTCATAAATTCTCAGCGATGCAAACGCACGATCGAAGAGAGAATCGTTCTGTACTTACGCACTCGTTTATTGAAGTTATAAATGTAAGATTGATCACGGAGAAATTATTATGCGCATTAACGTGACGTTGTCGTCTTCGGTATAAATGGTGCGGTAACTACTCAAAACAGAAATTGTGATCTGATATGTCAAATTCAGATTAATGAATCATAAGATGAATAGGCATTGGATGACTCTACAATTTTCTACAGAAACCTTATTTATTTTTGTGACATTGATAGCATTTTACATTAACGTTTCACAATTATGGTGAGGTTTTGACTCCAAAATCTACGCAGTGGGTATTTCCTGAAAGCATATTGGTATATATTTATGAATAAATAAGTAAACTACAATAACAGTTTCAAAGGCGGCTACCCACTACATCAAAGTTTTGTCGACCCTTGCGCTATGCGGGGAGCCCTTGCTACCCACACAGAACACGCGCTATACAAATATCAGCGCTGTGTCGCTCTACAACTGGATCTTTCGTGGTGTGAGTGAACACGATGAAAATCTTTATTTTCACGCTCTATCTCTCTTTATCTAATCGCTTCGGTCAGATAAGGACGGAATGCCGGAAAAACTGACGAGGGGCGAGGGGTAAAGGCTACATCGATTCCGCGCTTTCACTGCTAGGGGCCGTGTAAACCTTTAAAAACAACGCTTTTGCCGCGCGATTGTCATCTCTAACCTTACACGAGTAAGAGGGAAATTTCAATGCCGAGACAGGTCTAGTAAATGGATTGCCTCCCCCTCGGGGGTTCTCATAGTGGGATCTAGATGGCGTAGATAGGCTGATACGCAGCGATGTGTGCGTCGCGACGCGACTGGCTCCCGTCCATGTATGCGCTGCATAGGTTTGTATTTTCCGGCTACAAAGTTATGTAGATATGTAGCCATAGAGGGTTGTTTACGGAGGTTAAATTTTGCTTGTGTTTGCAAATATATGAGGGGTTGTAGAGGTAGGTACGAGTGCCATCCCTTTTTGTAATATAATTTTATGTTTGAGCGTAGATAGGCGGATAGATTAGGGAAGATGGAGGCTGCGATTTGATTTGATTAGGAGGTGTTCGGAGGGTTGGGGGAGATAAGGGTGATTGGATCACGGGTAGCGGCGGCGGCTTTATGGAAATATGTTTTTAATGTGGGCGGTTTATTGAATTAGCTAGTCTCTGAAGTAGCGCGATATTAATCCGCTGATGTGCTTGCTGTTGATAATCGACTCAATGAACGAGCACAATGTGTTATTGTTTTCTAATAACTGTTTATCTTCATGCTTGTTTCAATTAGAGGATCGTGATTGGTTTTCATTATTTTATTTCAGAGTTTTCTTTGTGCTGGTATGAAGTTCTTTTACAATATAGATTAACAAACATTTATGTCAATGGAAATCTTTTTTTATGATGTCTAATGACGGGGCGAACAAGTCGTGCGCTTGGCGGTAAGCGGCACGCCTGTCCACAGCAGGTGCAGTGCCACTCAGAGCTTTATAACGCAAAGATCTGAGGAGTACTGCAATGCGTTTGTCACCTGAGACATAAGTAGACAAGTCCCATGTGAATGTAATTTCACCAGCACCCATACTATAAAACTCATATATGCATATAAGGCAGAAATAGGGAAGGTGACAGTACTTTCCTCGACAAACTTTCACAAGGCGCTCTACACCTTTTAAATCAATCAAATAAATAAATCTATATGTGAATTTAGTATTTTTGTTTACAAAGACGACAATTTGAAATAGCTAACGTAAACTGTCCACTTATTGGGTCAGCATGCCTCTATTATGGTGATGTATTCAACTCACGTCACAAAGGGCTGTTTTTGTTCCTGTCATAACACAAAAGGAGCCCTTGATGTCGTCACAGCGCGCCCTTTGAGTTTACAGTACACTGAAAATCAAAGTACCACCAGCACAATATGCACTGATTTTTTTACTATTTGTTTATATAAAGCAGCTTTCTTCTTTGTCGGCATGTTTTCCTGTGATATTTGTTTTTTTCTGAATCTGTACACTATCGATCAAGTGGAATGTTGTTGACAGTGAATTGGGTTCGGGAATCGTATTTTTAGGAGACAAGTGGCAGCATACTCGACATTTTATTATCTTATATCGTAAAAGAAAGATTTTGTGAGCAGACAGGGCTTTGTTGCCATCCACACCGTGACTCCAATAACGAATGACCCGAATAAAAAATAATCCCGCTCATAAAATTTACGACTCTTTCCAGCCATTTCAGCGTTTGAGGAGCGAAAGTAATTCGCCCATAAAATTACGAGTAAACAGCCGTTTTTCCAAGGAAATAAAACCGCCCCTGCTCGACGGGGAGGGGCAGTTGACTCCTGTAAGCGGCTTAGCGCCCCTCTGATTTAGCGGGTCCCCGGGGAGAACGGTATGATGCTCGCCGCACCGACCGTTATAACTTGATGAGAAATCTTATCTGTAGATTATAAAATCGGTTTCGCGTAATTGAGTTGTTAAATGTCGACTTCTTTTTTGAACTTTTTAAGGCATTTTGCAAGCTCTCTAGCTCAAGTATAAATTAATAACAGAAATCAAGAGATATTTTAATTTATAGATACTATTAGTTGTACATGAGTATGATTTTCAGCCATCGATTTAAACAATTTTCAAAGGTTACAACTCTAATCTCACTGTGCTCACTTAGGTACCTTTTTTACTTACTCATAATTTTAAGCAAACAAAAAGGCGAAGTGACAGAAACATCTCGATGGGAAGAGTGGCCGGCTGAGCTCTAATCTCGAGCACAAAGGAGCTGCCATGACACGACGAATATGAACGCGAACCATTTAATATTTAGGTATTACAATACACATGGACTGGCGTGTGCAACTACTATAAGCAAGGTAATATTTCACAGCGTTCTTCATAAGCTACAATTACGAATGGCTTAAAAATCTACGATAAAAGCAGGTCTAATTCATGATCAACCTTGCTGAAAATAGTTTGTAATTTGTTTCACGAAATCCATGCTCTCCGGTAAATTTTTTCGTAGAAGCAAAGAAACTTTTGAGCGCATAGAAGTCTAATTCATTTACCTTTTGCATCAGTCAATCTGATTCAGAGTAAAAGATCTCGTTAGCTAAAAAACTGCGCGCGACTGTCCGTCGCCTGAGTTCGACACAGTCACTTACGATATTATATCTCACAATACATAGCTCACGATAATCTTCGGTAGTATTCGATACTAGTTAGGTAAGTACCTATACAGAATAGTTGACTGCATGTTTTACGACCTCAATACTTTTAGTTCGTAAATGACATGACAAATTAATGGATTTATTATGAGTGGGATTGCGCGGCTCGTTTTATTCTCGTGTCGGGTTTAGGACGAATGCATTTTTAATTGAGTGAGGCACTTTTGTGGACTGTATAAAACGGCCACCGCATGCCGTGGATATTTTTTATTTGATTGACGGGTAGTAATGGGCAGGTGCGTAAGAGGCCGCCGATAGCTACCTCGTTTTTTCGAATCGAACTTCGAGTGTTCACTTTTTGTTTGTCCCATCGTTTTGCTACTCGATTTTGTCATGTTTTATGTTGATTGTTTTAACGTTTTAACGAACTGAAGTGAGGTTGTAAATTCGCATGAGTCGGTTTGCATATTTTTGTTTCGTAAATAAATTTGGGGTGACGATCATTTTGTATCGCTCGGGTATTCTCCGACAAGTTTGTTTTATGGCGGCGCAGCGACACAACTGATGGCTTTCGAAATTATGTTTCGAAATAATGTGTAATTTTAAACATTATTGAAAAACACTGCATCAGTTTATAACAACTTCAACCGTTAGTATTTTAACTTATAACTAACCATCTTTAATATATAAAAAACAAGCTAAAACTATATCTTCACCAACAGAATTAACTTTCTTAACTATAGTTTACGACCTCGTTGACGACTGCAGTGACCAATAAGAAAATGTATTATATAGTGACTGCGCGATGAATTTTAGTTGTCTGTTTCCTATTTCATAAATAGTAGATATGTAAATCTTAATTTAATATAATTTTGTTTAAGCACTTTGTTTTAAATACGAAACGCTGTGTTCACATCTAGAAGGACACACTCTTCTCGCCTTATAATGTTAACCAATCTGTTGTATTTGATTTAAGAGTTTTATCCAGTTTTGTGAACCGAATAAAAAAAAACCATTGTGGGCGCTGGGGTGCGGAGCCCCGGTTCGATTCCCGGACCAATTTGGCGAACGAACTTTTCTAAATTGGTTCTGGTCTGGGTGTTCTGGGAAGTATTCTGGGAATTCCGTTGATCTGGTACTCATAGTAGAGGGAATTCCTGAGTATGAGACATCAGGCATGTCAGGCATATATTATTATAAATAATATAGGTACTATTAGAGTTTTGACAGGCTCACAACAAATAATCTACACAATCTACTCTTAGCTATAATGCTATTATCTATCCTGTGCAACGTGCTATATTCTATGATAAAGTATAAAGAATAATGTATTCCTTATTATTGTTTCAGTCGCTGCAGAGTGCAGCACGACGGGCGGGTACCTCGTGCGCAAACTGCAAGACTACAACAACCACACTGTGGCGGAGAAACCAGAACGGAGAGCCCGTCTGCAACGCTTGTGGACTCTATTACAAACTACATAATGTAAGTAGCTATGCAGATTCCATACACATAAAGTCATGCCTCCGTCTACTCAGAGTGATTTATCGTAGTTTAGTAAATTTAGGTAGTTCACTGTAAGGCTTTGAAGGGGTTGTTGGGTATCATAAACAGGATACGATTTGATATGAATTACGATATTTAAAATGTTTACTTTGACATTATCATCGTCATCATCAACTCACTATTAATATGTCCCGCTGCTGGGCATGGGTCTCCGCTCCATCGTCCGACACCCAGGTCCAATGCGGGTTGGGAACTTCACACGTTTTCCGAGGATTGTGAACCTTCTTCAACGTTTCATTGTCATGTTTTCTTCACCGGGAAGTTCATGGTAAATTTCAAATTAAATTTCACACATAAATTCTAAGAAACAGCGATACGTGCCGGGATTCGAACCTACGGCCTCTGCTTGAAAGGTCAAACCATTAGGCTACCACGGCTTCTTTTTCTTCATCTTCTTAATTTGAAATAAAAATTGAAAAACCAATTATGCACTTTTTGCATGGGAAACAAACGTGTTTTTAAACTGTAATTAAAAGTAATAGGAAACTGGCATTTCTTCTTTTGATTTCTATGTAGTTTTCACCAGCTCCCTCACCTTCGAAACCAAAACGCGGTTAATGCTCACACTACTGCTTGGCGGCAGAAATAGGTAAGGAGTCAATACTTCCCTGGACAAACTCTTTCTCAAGGAGCTCTACTGCTTCTAACGTTGGGTTTATTTAGTTAATACTTGTTTTAAAGCCAAAGTGAATTTTAAAACAGTCGTTAAAACCTAACACATGCTCCCCTGAAAGTTTTTCGAAATGACGCTTTCGCCCTTTTTACAAAACTCCGACTAAAATAATTATCCTTTTATTTACATTAAAAAGACCAATATTTAGCATTTCCGAAAAGTATTGATTATTTAACCTTCAGCTATAATATTGGGTACAAATAAATAATACAGTTATATAAAAGAAAAGGATACATGAAGGTGTCGTATTGTTTAGCACGAATAGACTTCTGCCACTCTTATCATAACTAGCGTAAACAACATTTTCAGCAAAGTTGAGTTACTAACATGCCAGCGAAACGAGATCTACGCGACGAGAGGTTTTTATTTCTTATTTAGTTTCAGTTTTATAGTCAAGCAAAATTAATGTAATCCACACTTTTCTAATGAAAAATAGTTGCTTGTTATGCTGCAAAGTTGTTGTTTGACGCAAGTGCTTGTATTAAAACCTGAGTAAGCGAAGGAAGCTAAGAATCAAAAGTGGATTCCAGAGCGTAGCGACGGTTTCAAGACACGAGACGCAAAACAGTTTTGCTGCCGAGCGCAACACACAACTATTCACCTCACTATAGCAAAAGTTTAACTTCGGATGCGTTCTGAATTTGCACCTTATCATTTTTATAATCGTGTGATTAAGTGATTATTGAAATTATTTTAGTTCTTCGACGAATTAAAACAATTTAATGAATACAATTACTTATCATTGTCAATTTAATGTCAACAATAATAACAATAAAATATACGTAATATATACAATAATAAAGAATATAATATAAAGAAAAACTTAGGTGCACCACAGTCCATCGTCAAGTTCGAATTTCAAAAACGTTTTCTACTCTAGCGTGCAAAAAACGTTTTATCGCGCAGATTTCTAATGAGAAAGAAAATCTTTCTAAGCTAGAAAGGTGAAAAGAACCTTTGGTGTTCGAGATATAGGCACCTAAAGTTTTTTTTTGCAAATGCGTTACTTATGACAAGAAGGGTTGAGTTGTAACCATTTGTAACCTACAATATTGAGGTTAAAGTTACTTACCTAGAATTTCACGTTATACGTCGAGACGTAACTCATTATTGTCAAATTAGTCTTATGAGGAAAATTACACGAAAGAAAATGCTATCAGCAATAATGCAGAAGTTTGCTCCTTCCTAATGCAAAGTTCTAAAATGAAACTTTCCTCACAACCTCACAGTACGACTGCACGTTAGTCAGATTTAATAACATAATGTTGTGAACACGTACAGGTGATTAATTTTATTGCAAACTTCGCACGCAACTTTCCGCCTGTGAAATTATCCTTGGGAAACGTCTTTGGGAATATTTTGTTGATAACTATCTGAGATTCATTCATTAATATCTGAGTAATATCTATTGAAGCGGATGGAGTCATGTTTAAATTTAATTTTTAAAAGAGTTCCAAATACAGTTAGCACTAATTAGCGCGTTACATTCGTGTTATTCAATTGAAGTCTGTGTCTTATTGAATCCTAGTAGAGAAAAGTTTTTTTTTTCAAAATATTCAATGACTCTCTGAGACTTACGTCAGAGGACACACGTAATTTATAAAAGAAATTGCATCACTGCAAAAGAAACTTCTCACCACCGTTGATACGTAAATTAAGTAACTTTAAATACTTCTCAAAAACGCTCCCTTCGTTCGGTTAATCCCGGTTTTCCCCCGGGATTGCGGTCCCATGGACCGAGTTGACAGTATCTTAGTGACAGATAACCCCGTCCCTCCCCGCGCCCCTACCCCTCGCCAGCTAATGTGTCATAAACCCCAATACGATTGTCTCGGATGAGTTACGACCGTGATACGATCTCGAAACGTTAATAAAATAATACTCCAACCGAGCGGGAGTGTTAGTTAACTTTTGTTATTGGTGCTATTAGATACTTTCGGAAGTTATTATAAGTAGTATGTGTTTAGTAGATTACCGGATTGTTTAAGATTTGACTATCATATTATTGATGGTATTTAATAAGGATAAATGTTATTGATAATTAAATTTAAAGTTCGGAATCGTAAAAAATATTCTAGTAGCAATTCTCACGACTCTTATTGCCCCATGGAAACAATGCAGAGCCCTCGTAAGCGATACTTTCAAAAGCGCAGCACAAGTCGACTACAACAATGACAAAAATTAACTGTCGAACGACCCTTCGCTCTCGACGTTTTTTTCCTGAAATGTATACTTTATTACCACTCAACGTACCCAATGTTGTTGGTCTAATTATTCGGAAGGAGCGACAAAGGCGAATGGAGCTACTTCAGAAGTTGGAGGCATAATGACATGAACACAATACGGGAGCACCATTGTCAAGCTGTACCGCCTCCTTTATACATATTTATACATTTGTACGCAGCTACCAATTTCTTGGTCTTTACCTTAGGCTACATGATGCTATTTATTTTCTATTCGGAAACAAAATATCAAAAGTAACAGCTAATAAATTGAAAAGATATAAATCTACGAACTGGCTTTGATACTAAATGACTCTGGTTTTGAATTACAAGTAACTTTTTTTTCATTATTCGTAATTATTGTTAATTCTTGTTAAATACCTAGCATTTATGCTTGGTATTTAATTATAATTTATACATTAAGATAAGTAAACTTTGTATTCAATTGCTACATTTTAAACTAGGCTGTATGTACGAAACCATATGCAAAATTGTAAAGAAATTTGTATGTCAAAAAATGTCTGTTCATCTTTGTGCCTTGCCTCCAAGAAATAAGCCCGTGTTATTTTACAAGTTCTATTGGTTTCAATTCTACTAAGTGATAAGTTTCAACCAGCTCTATACTCAACATTTCTCACCATAATTTTGATTTAAAAACATAGTAATTATTTACCAATTTTTACAGTCCCAATGAAAAGTACTAATTTGAAAAGGTACCAAAAAATATTTCGTACTTAAAGTATCAACTCGACTCAATAATCCAAAAAGCAAAGTAAGGCAACAAGGTATAAATAAATACAATATAATAGTGAGGGGCTAAAGGCGGATACGCAGTGATCGATTTCTCTAAAAAAAAAACGCAATTCACAGGACAAAGCGCGGGGCATTGTGAGACGCCCTGGCACCCTCCCACACGCGACGACGTGTATTTGATAGTCCGCTCTTAATGCAAGCAAAAAAAGTGAAAAAAAAACACGAATAAAAAATTTAATTGCAATATTGCTACAAATAAACCGCATTGTACAAATTGTTCGTAACCAACGGTAGAACTTACGAAACAAAAAAAAAACAGTTCCTTTCTTGACAAGCTTTCTTAAGACAAATTATTACGCTGTCCCTTTACGATATTTTAAAATTTAAAATTAATTCAAATAATAACAAAAAAATCAATTTGAACCATACTTGAAATTCACAAAATATCAAAACACCTCAACCGTAGTTCCGAAACCAAACAATAAGTGTTTACTTAAAAGTTTTGAGTCAAAACAAATGCTTTATATTATCCAATTGTGTGGATACAAATAACTTGGATCTAAATTGCCCTTATACATTTCAAGTGGTAAGAAGCACTTCTTTAGTACTTTTATTTATAATAAAAACAACGTTTGTGATACAGTTTGCTTGTGAGTGATGTGGGAATGCAAGTGATTGATTTGGGAAAACTTTTGAAGTCACTTGAAGCTTTTTTGTTGTAGAAGATTAAATTAATGAAGAAATGAGGAGTTTTTAACGAAAATTATTACTTTATTTTTGAATAAATATTCTCTGAGTATGTTTTTATGCATTTTAACTAACACCAAGTTATATTTTTATTGAGACCAAGTTAGTTTTCAAAATAAAATAAAAAATCAATGATTCAGCAAAATCTTAAATACCACGTCTTGGGAATAACCTCACCAAATTTAATACCGAATGAATACGATTGAAAATAAATTATTTATTTGGCCATCCACAATGGCCGGGTAATAGGATTACTGCGGAGCGTGGGCTCGGGGGTCTGGGGTTCGATTCCGTACCTGCGACCGCAATATACCATAACAAAGCTCGCCAGTCCGTCTGTTGGTATCTTTTTTCTAAATTTGTTTATTTAATTCACCACACTCGTTTATACGTTACTTCCTTTAAGTTATAGTCGATTAGCTTTTTGTGGTTGGCCTCTTTTTTTATTTGAATAAAAAAATTTGTATTAAGTTTTTGCGGTTTCTAACAATTGTTTTCCAAAGCGCCCTTTTATATTTACTGTA